AGCCTGGGTACCACTCCGTTTTCTTTCTGGTACTCTGACGGAAAGAACAAGAAAAAAAAAAAAAAGAAGAAAAGTTGCGGCCGTGAACCTCAGAAAAGAAGGAAAAAAAAAAAAGGAAACAAAGCTTCGGCCGTGATTGCAGTTGTATACATTCTTGGAAGTGGTAGTGCGAGTGTGCCCTCAATGAGGGCATCTCAGCCCCATGGCCAGGTTGTCAGATTCCAAAAAGAGAATAAAAGGGGAAAAAAACGGGCACATGGATCCGGCGGATACATTTTCGTAAGTGCCAGTGTGATGAGCCTTACAATCCTCTGACAAAACACAGCTTGAGCAGATCACGGACAGCTTGAGCAATTCACGGACAGGGGACTCATAAGAAACACACGACCAAGAAAAAAAAGAAAACGGTAACATTCAGAATGTGACCGCCTTACCTGTAAGGTGCATTTTTTTTCTTTCCCTTTTTCCATTCACTCGCGGCACTATAAAATTCAGATTTATGGGACATTGCCGACCCTGTGTCCCACCCCCGAAAAGTTCGGGTACTGGCCAAGACATCGTAATTTCCCAACACTGGCAGACTATAGTTGAGGGTTTTGGGTTTAGGGTTTGGAGTCTTTGGACAGAATTAGGGCAAACAGGGTTAGGAGTAGCAGAGTTTTCATGTGGCTCACAGGGGGGATTTACAGTTTAGACAAAATTTGCAGCTTTGGCAGCTTCTAGGACCTTTCTCGCTAATCATGCTATGTACGACAGGTTTTCACAGTAGACCTGAGAGGAAAGGATGAATCAGGGCAAGCTGACAGTCAATCCTCCACGATCTTGGAGTAATCAATGCTGGTCAGGGGTCCTTCGGCCGGACGGAAGGAAGCGTGGGTGAGTTCTTATGATGCATCCTTTTATTCTGACTTGCCGGTGGAATAGGAACCGGACTGATGCTCCCCAGAATGGAAATGGAGCCAGGACCATAAGGGCCTGTTTATTAAAAAAAAAAAAGAAAAAAAAAAAAAAGGAAAGGGTGAATTCTGTAGGATACTAGGATATTCAATATATCAACAGCGGACTGGTTGATCCTAAAGATCCTTAACAAAAAGAATATCAAGGAAAGGGTGAATGCTGTAGGATATTCAATATATCAACAGTGGACTGGTTGACCCTAAAGATCCTTAACAAAAAGAATATCAAGCCACACAGAAAAAAAATGGGCATATGTTTTAGCCTTTAGGAACAAGGGGTTATAGGTAGGTTGGCTGCACATTGGCCGGCGAATTCAGCTGGTGCTCAATGCATGTAACTCCAAAAGGAAATTGCATTGCTTTTTGACTGATATGAGGTAAATAAGAGAGCTTCTCTACCTAGCCCATGTGGCTCAGTGGTAAACCCCTGACATGCGTTTGGATCCTGATGGAATCGTCTCTCTGAAATACTCACAGAACAATACCTCAATGCTGTCGCCCTTCGGAGAAAAAGCAAGAAGCACACGTTCCTCTCAGTCGATAGCGGCGCCTCAGCATCATGCTGTCAATTGCAGAGTCTCAGCAATATCCTGTCGATAGCAGCTTCAGGAACCAAGTGTTTAGAGTCCCAGCGAACCAAATGAAAAAGGGCAGGCCTCCAGTACACGTCAGATAGATGATCCAATGAACCACAGTTTGCGACATAATGCCTCCCGGCAGAGTCCTGCAGTGGTGAGTCGTCTTGCAATCTTCACTCCTTTTCCAGCTACACATCGCGTCGCTCCATTCCCACCTACACAAAGGATCCATAGAATCAAAATATCAAAATAGTTACTTATGTCGCCTTCGATGGCCAACGTTTGGTGTTTTTCGATTCCTACATGGAGGCTCGCAAGCCTCAGAGCTGCAGTGAAGTCTCTACCAAGCTGAAAAGCATGACTGCAATCAAAAAATTTGAAATTTCTCTTCGTGGATCCTCTCCAGTATGGTCAAGGACAGAGGTGTGTGGTCCTGCAAACTTCACCCGTGACAATTTTCATGGCATCGTCAAGATCGTCAGATCCACAGTCGTGGCATACATTATGATCCTACCAGCATGCAAAAGAACTTAAAGAAGACTATAATAAACGTAAAGTGACGACAAGATTTTTCAGAGCTTGGTATGCTTACAGGCCAAGTGGGCATGAAAGGGTAACTTCGTAATTGTGTCCACTAACTGATATGCAAGGAAGATGAGCATTAGCGAACTTCAGCAATCAAACAGCATCATACATATGAGCCCAGATAGTCTTGACCTCGAACCACAGCAGACTGGCATCACGTGATACACCAAATAAGAACACACCAAGAGTTCAAAACTGACAATGCTGAAGAAGTCCCATCATCATCAACTACGAACCAGAGTTGATATCCTATTGGCGCTCGGCGCCCAGACTACAGGTGGCAGATCCTATCTAACCTATACTACGAAGCAGAATGATGACATCAACAGCGTTCCCGAAGTACGAGCATATGGCGACCAATGTCGCACGCTTCAGCACCAGGTATGTCTCTCGTAACACTCACAACCCCGATCCACACCGCACAGATGCCACTAGC